CTTTTATTTTTAATGATGTTTCTATTTGCGACCAATTGTCTGAGCAAACATCAGACATACAAAGGGTATCAAATGTGGACGATCTGGAAGAAATTATACACTAAGGCAAATAAGACAGAAAGAAATACTCTAAGAGCTCCAAGGGTAGTTAGGTTTGAATATGCTTTCAATGGGAGTTGAAACCTGAAAGTTCACTTGGTCACTTAACCCCTATTTGTTCCACTGAAAGTCTTCTGCCCCCATTCCCAAATGACTGGAGTGGAATGCCAAATACAGAAATAAGCACCCCTTCTTACTCCTGGTGTGACCTCTCGGTGCATTTATGCCCCACTGAGTCACACTTGAGATTTGTAGGTAACAGACTTGAAAATTTGTTGCTAAGGACCAGTAGTTTATGCAGTCTGGTCTGACCCACCATAATTCCCATTAAAACAGAACACTTTGCCATAGATAGAACTTTTAACGGTTATATAAAAATACTGGAACCTTAACATTATTTTGGTTTTATTGTAAAGCTGTAAAAATCATCCACTGTTACAGCAGCCTTAAAACATATGAATTAGGTATTGCAGTAACCTTTAAGATGTGTTATTCTTTGTCGTATTACTGAATCATAAGAAGAATCTGGTTACCTCTAAGAGGTTTAAATTTCCAATCTATTAAAGTAATACCAGCAATCTGTTATTTCTAGGCCATTGAGGAAAGGTTAAAATGAAAATTGGACTTTAGGGAGTTCCTTCTATTCCAAGCGCAGGCTGAAAACATCTCAGCAGTAGAAGGCAGTCAGGGTCTCGGTAAGAAGCAGTTATCAAGGGAAATGACTGGTGATAACTTTATTGATTAAAGCAGCTTGAGAAATTTAAGCTTTGCCTGTGTCTGGCATTACTGTAGTGAGACAGCTGTATTTTAAAAAGATATTTTTCATTAAAAATAAGGTAATAGCAAATTGTAATATGTTTTATACAACATAGCTCATCTACAGTGATTTAATGATTGTGTGAAACTGCTGCTATGACTTTTAAATGCAAGTCAGAAATAGAATGAATTATAAAATGCTCAAAAATAAAGATATAAGCAATTAGGGTGGTCCTTATTTTGCTATTGAGTAGAGACATAGACCACGGTCAGGACACAGAAAAATATGACATGAAAGATCATTAAGAAGCCAAAAGCACTGCATGAACTGGATCTTTTATTGTATATACACAATGCATCTAAAAAACTATGTGGAAAGTCTATTAGGGTTACAAGTTCAAGTACTCCAAAGTTGGGAAATGTCAGTTAAAGTTGTCCATATTGCCATTATTTAGTCCCCTTGTACATATGTATTTATCATTTTTAATTACTTAAGCGTAAAGTTTTTTCCAAAGTGAAAAGTGTCAAATGACTCTTAACACAGGGGGCACTATTAGTGCTAACTTTCTCCTATGTAAGACAATTTCTCTCCATACATGTATATAGGATACCAACTGCAAAAGACCAAATGTCCTATATCTTTATTTTGGAAATATATATACACTTATTGACAATATGTTTCAACATAGTATACGTTAACCAAATTAAAAAATAATATAGTCACTAACCTGATTATGAAAATTTGCTGAATGCAGAATGCATGGGCTATGTAGTACACGCTGTCTATTTTGCTACTATTCAGGGCCTGATGCAAAGCCAAGTGAAGTCAATGGAAGCCTTTCCATTGACTCTAATGAACAGTGAATTAGGCCTGAAATGAGAAAGCTTGTGCCAGCCTGCTAATGGAATTCAGTTATTTGCCTGAACTTGGTTCTCAGAAACATGGCTACAGACGCACACCGTTCCCCAGTTTCTGAAGGCAACCAACATACAGAAACATAACATCACAAACTGATGAAATCTTGGCAATCCTAAAGCCATTTCAGAATGCTCTCAATATTCTACGAGTCTGGCAAAAGTAAGGGACAACCCCAGCCAGGTTAAGATTTCACAGGAAAAGACTGGGTAACCCTATTTTGCAGAAACAGCAAAGAAAGAAAACAGCCAACAAAGACCTCTTCCTTTCTCAACTTAGTCCAAGAGCTCTTTCTTTTTGCTTTCCTGTTTGTTTGTTTGCTTGTTAAGCAACCAGAATTCTGGCTGAGCTCTTTTGATAGCCACTTTTTCCTCAAATACCATTTTTTTCTAAAATGGCTGGTGTTGCAAGCAGGATTAACAGATTGATGAATAACTGGTGTAGCTGTACCTAAAATATGGTGCTCAGGTCTAGCTACTGTGGCATAAGAAAGATATCGACAGGAAAGAGCGCAAAAAAAAAGCAACCACAAATAGAGTGGTGAGAGACTGCGTTATAATAGATTACAAGAGTGAAACCTGTATATCTTTAAGAGACAAACTGCAAAGAGATAAAGTAACAATCTACAAATAACTAAAGACCTCAAGGAGGGAGAGAAACGTTTTGGTGCGATCCACGGGGCAAAATTAGGTGTAGTTAGGTGATATTTAAAAGGGAAACTTTAGACTGAATCCCAGAAAATCTTCCTGACAGGGAGATCAATTAGGCTGTGAATATTCTCTTTAGTGTACTAGTAGGAACCCTGCTGCTTGGTATACAGGGTCTTCATAAAGTCCTTGTGCACTTTTAAACTTTAATAATTTAGATTGTAGGTAAGATAGAAACAATCTGTAAATGGCATTTAAAAGCAAATTTATTAAAGTTTTAGGACAACTAGAGTACACAATTATATTTCCAAAATATATAAGACATCCTATGTCACATAGGAAATATGTCCTATATTGAGCACTTCAACATAACCACCATCCATTATGATACAGTGCTCAATCCAATCTTCCAACTCCTTGAAAACATTTCCCAGTTGCTCTTGAGTTACTACACTAATTGCGTTGGTGATCCTAGCCCTAAGTTCCATCAAAGAATGTGGTTTTGACAAGTAAACTGCACTTTTAACACATCCCCATAAGAAGTACAATGGCGACAGGTCAGGTGAATGAGGTGGCCAAGCAATTATTTTTCCAGAGAAGTGGATAGGCAGAGGTAGACCATCATTTAGGAACTGCTGTACATTCAGAGCGTAGTGACATGGAGCTCCATCTTATTTAAGAATAAATTTGTTATACTTATTAAGTCTATCGTGTACTCTAGATGTCCTAAAACATTAATAAATTTGCTTTTAAATGCCGCTTACAGATTGTTTCAATCATACCTACAACCTAAATTATTAAAGTTTACAAGTGCACAAGGACTTTATGAAGACCCTGTACTTAAAACCAGTCTGGACCAAATGCCTAAGGTGATGAACAATCTTGCGCTAGGAGGGGATGGATTAGAATGGCTCGGTAAGTCTTACTTTATTATAGAATGGAGAGAGAGAAAAAAGTCAAATGCATGCTGAATTACAGAACTATTAGTTCACCTGTAAGTTCTAGGGACCACACAAACTGCTGCAATTTAACTCTTGTTGTTTATGTCACCAAAACGTTTGGATGGAATAATTACTTTATAATACACTGATGTTTGTTATTCATTCCATATTCATCCTAAGGCTGTATGTGACATAACCAATCGATAAAGAGAATCCAAGCACATCTATAGAATGAAGGAGGGGAAAAATGGGCCATCCTAATAATTTGGAGATAGCACACTATCAAGGATGGTTTCTGGAGAGCACCAGGAGCCCAAACATAACATAAGAGGACATTTTTTAAAAAGCAAATGTTTCTTATTTTTCTATATCTTACTTCTAAGCTTCCAGAACAATGTGGTGTGTGTAGTTTTGCAAGTACTATACATAAATAATAATAATAATAATAAAAATATGTCTGTTTCCATCATGCTGGACCTTTAACTTGCCAGTCATCTGGGGCAGCTGTCATTTTGTGAAGTCAATATGACAAAGTATCTTACATAAGATACGCACCTAAGGCTTTTCTCACGTGCATTTCTCTCCTTTAACCAAAAACTAAAGGAACTCACAATGTAAGACTATAACAGCTATTCATGTATGCCAAAATGTAACAAGTGACATGCAAGACTAAACACTAAACTGCAATCAGGTATCAACAGTTTGGACAGGGAAAAAAAGGTTACATCTGGGGGCCATATTTCAATGGCTATATCAATACATGTGTTTGTATGCTGTGTGAGGGATTCTTCTACTGGTAATGGTAATCAAGCAGAATATTCACATACTACTGTGAGAAATTATGAGATCAAAAAAATATACATTACAAAAAGCAACCACTATCAAGTATGGTTAGGAATAGACTTAATTGTGCAGAACACAGGTACAACGAATGCAGGAACACAGCTGATTTTTCTGACAAACATCTGTGATAATTCAGTTACAAGAAAATGATTTTCACAGTTTAATTTTGCTTGCAAGGCCAAGAGTCTATCTTCCTACTGAAATACTACCATCTGGCAGAGAAGAGGAAATGAGGGGGCGAGGAAAGGGAAGACACAGCAGGAGAAAACTGGGAAAAGAGGGGCACTTGAAGAATATAATACAGGGCAAAGGCAGGAAAAGGAAGGTAGGAAGGAGGAAGTAAAAGAAAAGCAAAAAGGATCACAGCAGAAAAACAACAACAGAGAAACAATTTTGAAATATGTTGCTGCCCATTCCAGGGGCTGAATTTCCTCCATTGTGGTACTACAAGGCAGTATTACTTAGTGGGCAAAAGATATCCAGCAGGTCACCACAATCTGGTCAGGCTCCTCTCTATTTAGCAAAAATAGTTTGTCCCATAAATTATTTTTAAACACTACTCGTTAGATCCCTTTTAACATTTCATGAGAATAAATTTCTAGGTGGTGTGAATACTTCCCTGGAACATGCAAAGTATCATTGTGGAACGGCCACTGAACAAGACAGTGCGGGCCCAAACCTGAGGTCCACACTCCATCAATCCCTCTATAGCTTCAATGAAAAATAAGGAACCAGTAATACACTTAAGTGCCAATAACTGAGCAGCAAATCCAATAATTATTGAACAGGGAATCTTACCTCCTGAGGTTCAACTCCCATTTCTACTAAGGCTGATTGGAAAAACATTTTTGATGGCTTTCCCACTACCTCGGCTTGAATATCACAGGCATACTGAAAAAAAAAGGACAGAAATAGGACTGCATATTAGAAAAGGATTTGTTCAACTCCACAACCGCAGGAGATGTTATAAAATGTATGTGATTATTGATTGATGCCCTTAAGTAATGTAATAGATTAGTAGATGAAGGTGACTAGCAGAAGGGTGATTGCTTTCTGTTAGGAGGAATATACTCCTGAAACGTCTAGAAGAAAGGTAGACAACACTTTGGTTGGAGCGCTGAAAAAATCACGGTGTCTACCTTGTAAGGTGCCAAGTGCCGGCATGCCAGAAAAACAAAATTGGGGTGGAGGATACATGGCAGGGCACACTGCATATTAATATACTTAATAATCATAAATGTTGCTTTTTTTTTTTTTTTTTTTTTTTTTACAGTAAATACCAGGTTTTCTAAATTATATTTAGAAACCTGGTGGCAATAAATAAAACTTCATATATTACCTTTCTTGTGTATTCTTTTTTTGTTAAGCATGTTGTGATGACAGGGAGGAAAAAAGAGAAAGAGGGAA